TCTGCTAATAAACTCCGATCCAAAGTTCATTTCCCAAATGGAACCCTGACTGGCGTGGCTCAGTTGGTTGAACATCATACCTCCCTAGCAGTGAGGAATTCAGATCAAGCAAAGAGTAGGGCTTAACATTTCCTTGACAATAAAATTACTGAAATGATTGAGATTGTTTTCCTAAATGAGAACTCCCTTATTTAAAAGTGTTAGGTATGCCAACCACATGCGACCACATTATCAAGGGAAAACTGCCATTCTATTTGTTTAATTGATACAGTAATTTGGTTGAATCATCATATAGTAAAACACTGTGTAATGAGATATGAATGAAAGAATGTTATGCGTAGGCAAGAAAGACACAATACTGGCTTCTCCCCTTTCTAATCTTTCTCCCTATGAAGGGCAAGTATTTAATTTTAAGTTTAAATATTATTTCTTGGTCAACTAAAATCAGAATCTCTAGAGACTGAATCTCCTCAAATGTGGCGGACAAGATTTACTGCCTAAATGCCACTGCCCATTTATGCCAGTGGGACCCTTTCCCACTACCAGTATCACTATCAATCTTTGTAACACCATTCCTCCTTGTCAGCTATTGGTTTAGGGCTAAGCATAATTCATCTCTTGCCAACGAAATTTATGGGCAAGGCTATTGAGGCCACTCGGTAAGATTTTATTTCCTAATAAAAAGGGGCAAGTGGAAATTTCGCTCCTCTTTTTGTCTTTAAAGGTCCTTATGTTTGTGTGTGAGGGTGGCAGGGGAAGGTGGAGTCGTGGATGGGAACTGTGTTTCTTGGAACTCTAGTAGCCATCATTTGCTCATGAAGAAAAAGTCAAAATTAGCTCAGAGAAAGCAACCTAGACTCTGATATCACTGGGCTACTGAACAAAACCCTGGATCCACTTACTTTCAAACATATTGTTGTATGAGAAAAGTAAGCTTGTATTTTTGAAGGAAATTTTAGCCAAACATCCTGTTACTTGCTGCCAAAAGCAACCCAACCATCACAAGAGGTGACTTTTATGCAAAGCTAACTCCGTGAAGCTACGATGAGGAGTAATGATGAGGAAACTTAGGCTTACTCAGCATCTGGCTTGGTGAATATCTTCATGGAAGATGATCAGAACACTGCCTTTGTATTGACGATTCTCAAAAATGTTCACAAAATAACATTTAGTGCCAAGCGTTTTAGTGTTGTTCTTTTGACCAACAAAGATGATATGGATTGTAAGGTTATATATTTCCTCTCCCCTACCCTTGAAGTTCAGTTGTAGTATTTGAATATTGAATTAAAAGAAAAGTTGAGTTTATGGGCATTTGATTGTTTTCTAAATTTTTACTCAAGTAACAACCAAAACAACCAAAACAACAACAAAATACCATTACCATTGCTGTTTGTAGTTTTACTTTTTTTGTTTTTTTCTACTGGGAAAAATTCTACCAGTCATTTAAGATCTAATTCAAATGTCATCTTCTCAATTAGTATTTCCTAACTCTATGTAAACTAACTCTGTCCGTCTTTTTTTCTGAGGACTCATTCATTCATTCACTCATTCGTTCAACAAACATCTATTAAGCTCTTGCCAAGTTCTAGCCCTTGTGCTGGAATTCAAAAGTGGCCAAGTTGCAATATAGTTAGAAAATAATAGATCATTCCGTAAGCAACCATAATGAAGTATGGTAACTTTCAATAGCAACCTCACCCCTTCACAATCAGTAAAGTTTACCAGACTTTTACTGGGTTTTTATGGTGTATAAGACACAAGAGATACAAAGATAACTGAGATGCAGTCTCCCTTCTTTAAGAATGATAGAGACTAATATGTCTTCACCAAACTAGTTTCCTCTGCTGCCTGGGCACACAGAGAGTTGACATTTCCCAGCCTTCCTCACAGGTCAGTGTGGCATGTAACCAAGGTCTGGCCAATGGGACGTGGACATAAGTAATGTATGGTACTTCCATTCCTCACCTATAAGAAACCTCTCATGCAACCTTCCACATACCCTCTCTCTTCCTGACCATTGCCCAGAAACCAAGGACTCCAGGGTTTTAGGGATGGCAAAGCCCTAATATACAAAGAGTTTGGGTTCTTGCATCACTGAATAGAAGGCCATCAGCTAAACACCATTATATAAGTGAGAAATAGGCTTATCTGAGAAAGAAATAAGCTTTTACCACACTGTTACTGAGATTCTGGAATTCATCTGTTAGAGCTGCTAGCGTTACCTTTAGGTAATGCAACTACAATGTGAGAAGTATAGGCACGGAGTTAAACAAGGGAAAGGAGGTATTGCCTTGTTTGGCTGGGGCCAAGTGATACCTGAATAAAGCCTTGAAAGATGACTTAGTCCTGTAAAGAAAACCAAGACCATTACAGGCAGAGGAACCACATGATTACAGGACGTGAGGTGAAAAGGAAAGTGCACGTAGGGAATCTATGCCTGGCTATATTAATTAGAGCATTGTGTTCAAGAAGTGGCGTCAGATGAAATGGAGATCAAAACTCCAAGTATAAATCCTGTGACACCGCCTCCCACATGGGCCATTTTGGGCAAGGTAACCAGTCTGGATAAGTTTCTTCATCTGTAAAAGAGTGATAATGCCTATGTCACAGAAAACCTTAAAAACAGGACTAGGTACATATTATAGTCCCCATGGCATCCTCCCAATGCTTTATCTTCCTTTTATAAGATATTCCCTGAGACAGAAGTATGCATTTACTGTATGGAAGAGCACAGATAAGGGAAACTGCTAAATTTGAACCTTTTAGTCCTTCACATAAACCACAGAAAAGTAAATAAAATAATAGATTTCTAAAAAGACAAAGAGCTTTTATTATATGGACAAGATGTACTTAATAACTTTATAAGGCTGTTACAAACTCTTTAGAACTTATCATGAACGCCTTCTTATTACACAAGTGCATATGTAGGCAGCTCCACTTCCCTCCATGCTATGCTCCTAGGCTTTGTGTGAAACAGATGTAAACCCTTCACAGAGGAAACATCTGTTTTATCATTGGGGTCCTGTTTTATCACAGACCAAAGAGCCAGTGACCTATCAATTATCAGTAGGACTAGTAAATAATTGGTCATGAACCAGATATTCAACAATCCCTTGTGACAGGACATATTCTGTAAATGTTTTAAACAAAGAAATGTTTTACCTTATACTTGTAGAGCAAGAGACTTCAGAGGTAATCTAGTCTATAGGTTACAAACTCAAATGCCTTCAGGGCCAAACTCAAATGTGGGGTATGAGGCAACTGGAGAAGGCCCAGCCTCAGTGAAGGCGTTCAAATCACTACCAGCCTCTGGATGTAACCTCTTGGTTTCATTTCTCATCTAAAGAAACCGAAGAGGTTTCGGTGTAGGTGCCTCTTAGAAGCTACATACCAAACATATTGATCAAGTCAAGGAAAGCTGAAAACCATAACCACTCCTGGTATTTTAAGCAGAAAGAGATTTTATACAGGGAATTAAGTGAACTGATGAAAGGGTTAGAAGTATAGGGTCTAAACTTGGCCTCTAGGAATGATTTCTAGAATATTAGTAACTGATCAACCAAAGGATGTACTATTTTTTTTTGTACAATCAGGAGGTCCCCTAGGCACTGCACCTGGAATTCATGAGCACCACTTGAAGCTGCAACCCCAAGAAGCTGGGATCTGGACGCTGCCTGAACAGGGAGCACCGAATATGTTCGCATCTCCCTCAGCTGCCTCTCGTTAGCTACGGAGCAGGTGATTCAACACAACAATGTCGAGTCTGGCTGTCACTGCTGCTGGAAGTCTTGCCAACACCCACAGTTCTGGAGACTGGACACTGGCATCTCCTGGACCTTCCTTGCCCACAGAAAACAGCCAAAGGTTCCAGGGGAATGACCTCTGTCTCACCCCTGTCTTTGAAATCTCAGGCAAGTCATCTATTTGCCTGACCCTAGTTTTATATCCAGAACCCTAGCTGGAAGGTAGTACAGGAAATGTTTTTAGCTTTTCAGTTTCTCCAGTGGCGGAACACACACTAGAAGCAGGCAGGAATGGATCTGAGGGACAAACTTCTGCACCCAGCACAGCCAGTTTAGGTGTAATCCCCAGGACTCAGACCTCCGTTACTGACTTTTCCCCACTTATTCTATAATGCCTTCTATGGAAACCCTAAAAAATAAAAATAAATAAAAATAAAAAAGTGCCAAAGGTTTAGTCACTATGGTTATAATTCTAAATATCTTAATAGGTTAGAAAATGTATTATGTGAATAAGTCACTTTGCTCATATTATTAGTATAGCATGAATTACACGACCTAATGACTTTTTAGGTATGGTCTTACCCTTTGGATTTTGAACTACTGAAAGGCAGAAACTGTCTTTGATTCCTATTTGTGTTTCCTGTCTCCATGTCTGCCTGGCCCAGAGAAGACACACCGGTATTTGCTGAATTGAAATGTTTCACTTTTGATTTGGAGAAAAACAGTACGCCAGAATTTCATGAGTACTGTGTGGCAGCAATAATGTCAAGTGGAGGCCCCATTACAGAGCAGTGGGGAAAAGCAGTTTTAGTTTTTCAATGAAAACAGAGGTTGACCAGGGTAAGAAAGGTCTCTATCTGGGGGCTCTCAGGAAATGGTGCCTTTCTGCTATTAATCTTTAGGCCCACAAATCTTACCACAGTCCAGATAGATAATGAGGATGAGGTAACAAATTGATGCCTAGTATTAACGTTAACGAAACCACAGACATACTCAGCGTGCGCTTTGAGCAGGTGGTTGTTTTCCAGTCTGTAGGATTTGACGGTACCTAGCACCTCCGGGTGCTAACGTAGCGCACAGTAGCAGCACCCCCTGGTTGATGTCAGAACAAAAACAAAATCAAGAGAAACCCAGCCAAACAACAACGCAACGCAAAGGGCTAGGGGCTCGCTCCCAGTTCTGACCTGGCAAGCCCACCAAGGTTCCCGCGGCTGGCGCCTGTTCCTTGCACACTTTGTGTTCTCCAGGAACACTCACCTCGCGGTCTCTGGCGCGGGCAGCCTGCTCTGCCCGGCGACTAGGAGATGGGATAAAAAGCTCTGCCAGGGAGCCTCGTCCAGCTGCGGCGCGCCGGGCCGCCGAGTCGCCGAGTCGCTCATCGCAGCAGGCGGAGCCCGGGGCAGCGATTAGTGCCGCTTGCCGCGCGGTGGGCGCGCCGCGGATGACTGCGGCCCAGCCTTTTCCGCAAGCGCGCGGGGCGGCCTCGCGGTGGGGCAAGCCGCAGGGAAGCAGGAGCAGCCCGCGGGCAAACCTGGGCTGTAGTTCCCTACGAGTCTCTGCCGACGTTGGGGTCTGGCGGCGCGGAAGCGGGGCTCGCCCGGCCGAGCACCGGGAGGCCACTTCCCGGGACCTCGGAGCGGCCCCGTGCGGGCTTCGGTCGTTGGTTCCCGCTGGGTTGGCTTTCCGACCCCTGGCGCCCGGATGAACGCGTCTCTCCGCCAAGCGGCCCGGAAAGGTCGCCCTTGGAGCGCAGAGCCAGGCGCGGAGTGTTGCCCGAAGATGCCTGGACCCTGGGCGAGGACGCGCTGCGCTGGCTCTTCGGGAGCCAGGAGCGAAGGCTGGACTGCATGGTTGGTTTATGGTTTCCTACACCAACCTCTGTGTTCTGCCTGGGAACGCCACCTTTTAGGTGTATTTTGTGAAAGGATCTTCTGTGCGATGGGAAGACCAAGATTCTTCCGTTGACCAATTAAGCAGGATAAAAGACTTGTTCTTCCCCCTTTACCACCTCTTTCACACGTGCCCTTCCTATTGTTTCAGGTTTTAACTTTTCCATCAGAAGTTTGATTCTTTTCCCGTTACAACTACCTTCCATTTCCCTGTCTTCCTTTCCTCTGTATTTTACCCCTCCAACTAAGTGTGTACATATACCCCACGTCCCTTTTGGGGTAATTTTCATTTCCATTTGAAGTAAAAATTTTCTTACCTCTTTTTCACTCCATTAAGCAAGTGCCAATTTTAATCACTTCTTTTCAGGCAAGAACAATGTCAAACAAATGCCTCCACCAGACAGAAACCGCTCGCTCTTGTCTCTCAGGTCGTCGTTTGTGGAAAGAGTGGATGAACCTACTTTCTATCCAATAAGCTGTTCCAGAGCATCTAAAATGATTATTTTCCTAAACCGAACCCTTCCTCTTCGAAGGCTGGCTCAAGTTTCTAGTGACATCCAGCTTCCTCTTACTGCAGGAATGAAACATATTTTTCCATTTCTTTCAGTCATATGATCTTCATTGATACATCACCTGATTTGATTAGCATGCCACTTTGGAGAACTTTTGAACTGCTGGGCTAGATTTTACTTTGCTTTTATTGTTTATAATGTTTTATAGTTTATAGTGAGCTCTGAGAGAACCAACTATGAGGGAACATTTGTTAAAGTTAGAATGCATTTTGTAGAATCATGTTTTTATTTAGAATTCATTTGTTCACAGCTGTACATATACATCTGTCCTTGCTCACAGTGTAAAGTACTTCATAACATACACTTTAGTGTTCTCTACCTCACTTGATAAGAAGTTACAGCATTTTGGTTATGTTACACTCAAAAGAAATGCAGGTCATTTGGCTCAATTTCCTACTTTCACAAACTGGAAAACTAAAATCCAAGATAAGTTGAGTGACTTGGTCTAGGTCACAAACCAAGCTATCTAAACCGGGCTACCAGCTCCAGAATCCAACTCAAATCTTATAATCAATGGACTCTTTGGGAATGCTAGTCAAAGTATCCTTCTCTGTCAATTTTAACTCACTTTTATCAATTGCAAAATACTCTTCCTCATACATAAAATGTTAACTGTTCATTGTACATTTCAATACTTTCTTTGCTATTATGAAAGAGAAAAGGCTAACTATAACCACTCATTTATTGAGTAGCTACTATATATGTGTATCATACCATTTGGTCTTTTGAAGTAACAAGTAAAATAAAAATAAAACACTGTAACAGAAAGAACAAGGAAACTTTCTAATAATCTCTTACAGAATTATCATCCATAAATTTACTTAAAGTTTTCTTAAAATTTTTATTTTCTTTATTTATTCCTGTTATGTGGTTCACTTATATTTATCTACCCAGAGACTATTTTATTTCTAAATTCCATGTCCTCTTGTCTGTTAAACTGGAATTTGGTGAAGAAAAGCTATACCTAATTAAAGAAATATTCCCCAAACTGACATTCTGCCAAGTTATTTAACTCTATTTATTTAGGCCCATGTCAAATATCATTGTTTATTTTAATAAAGATTTTTTTAGTTAAAGAAGTTAAATACTAAGAAAATAGTACTTAACTATAAGTGACAGCATCCAGTAAATATAAATACCTGCTGGTTATTTGTCTTTTATGTAACAGATCAGCAATATAGTTCTGACTAAACTCCTTTTAATGTAAGTTATTGAAGCCAAACTACTTCCTACCTCTGGTATTCATTTATAACGGTGTAAGATTTTAAAATTAGTACCCATATACAAACCAATGCAGTACTATATAAAAATATTTGAATATTCAGAAATAGGGGTAAAATAGAAAGTAATAATACCTTTTCAAAAAAAAACTTCCTTTTTTCTTCATACTGACATTTTATTTTGTATGCTTACAAATTGAGGTTTATTTTTAAAACTATCCATTTGCAGTGAGTTCATCACCTTTTATGTCACCTACAATGATTGTAGAAGAGATTAGAAAGAGATTAAGATATTTAAAGAACCGGAGTTGTGAACAACGACAGGGCTTGTTTTCATTCCTATGCCATTAATAAGAAGGACAGGATGGCGCGTTTTCTTCATAACCAGGTTCACTGAGGACGGGAAGGGCCCGCCTTCCCAGCAAGGAGATCCTGCGATCACAAGCTCCAGCCTCCATCGATGATGACAGGATTCCCTGTCATGTAGGCGGACTGCAGTGGTAAACACAAGAAGACGGAACAATTAACCAGGTTTAACACAGGTTCTGTTTCTTCACTTCTTCTATGACACTTCAAGAGAATTTATGTAACTCTGAATTAAATTTTGGATGATTTAAAACTGCCAAGTGTTCTTTTAGTCTGGCCTCTGGCTAATATTTTAGCACATGTCACATTCCAAGCAAGGTCTTTTAGGTGTTTGGTCTCAGAATTAGAAAATTAAGAAGTGAGGTGACATATGGTCATTCCCTAAATTAGGATAGCATGTAGGCTTAAATGGCACATTTTCATTTTGAAACGCAGAACTATTGTAAACTAGCTGAATTTTATGCCACTAATAAACTTTCTGAATATAATCAAGTGTGTTGGTCATAAAGTGGTCATGTCCATTACCAAACAAAATTTTTTAAAAAAGATATTATAGACAGAGTTGATCAATATACACAAGCAATTCCAGGAACTGACGCACACTAAATGTATTTTAAAAATCTGTATGGCCCTGGCCAGTGGGGCTCAGTTGGTTAGAGCATTGGCCTGTAGACCAAAAAGTCACAGGTTTGGTTCCTAGTCAGGGCACATGCCCAAGTTGCGGGTTCCATCCCCTGTTGGTGGCGTGCATGAGAAGGCGACCAATTGATGTTTCTCTCTCTCTTTCTCCCTTCCTCTCTCTTTAAAAGCAACGGAAAAAAGTCCTAGGGTGAGGATAAAAATTTTTTTAAATACTTTGTATGAAAATTATTATAATCTGTTAAACTATGAAAAAAAATTTATACTTGTTTTAGATACAAATCTGTGCAAAACTAAAGGAGTTAAAACAAACAACTATTTTTTACACAGAAATTTTTTTCATTTTCCAAGGAATTAAAGCTAAAATGATTCCTTGTCGTAGAGGTTTAAAAATCTCTCTTAACTTAAACATGGATAATAAAGATTCAAATTTGTGTTCTTAGTTTTAAATTTAACTGAAGCCTGAGACAATGGAAGAGTGAGGAAGGAAAGACATCATAATAGCACAGAAATTTTAAAAGTTTATTCTATGAAAACTGATCATATAATGTAGATAAACTAGGGCTTTACTAATCACTTTACCAAAAAATGACCCCAACTCTCCCAAGTATTTTTACAAAGCAAGCTGTTGGTTATACTTATGGACTCCTCTGGGCCCTTTTAAAAGCCCAAAGGTCCTTTTGTTGCATATTTCAAGCTCAACATTTCCAAGTATTTGATAACCTAAGCTCTGGATAAACAAGGGCAATTTAGCCAATCAGCTGTATCCTAAAATCAAATAAGCTCTTCTGAAGATATACATTCAGAGAAATCACAAATGCCAATGTATTTGCTTCATTAATAATTTGTCTAACAAGTTCCCCAGCTATTAACAACTCTTGTTAATAGTTCTGAGTAGTAGTAACTGCTTTGTTACTAAAACATTTCAAATCCTGTATTTGTCACATTCACCAACCACCTGGTGTGCACCAGTTTCCTGTAAAGAGGAGATAACTGATTATTAACACACCTCTTCACTCCCACTTCCTTCCTTCCCTTTCATTGTCTCTTTGCATACATTGTAGTTCCCTGATTGTGTAACATTCAAAGACATAAAACAAAGAGGGATGTTCTTGTGCTCTATACCTTAGAAACATAGTTTCTGCTTTTGCACTAGTATACTATTTGAACATACACAATTGCTGTTGAAGAAAAAACTGGTTCCTAAATAGATGCAAAGTGGAAAGACAGAATTAGGAATGTCCTTACATGATGACAACCAAGTGGGAGTTCTAAACAAGGAACCAGTAAAAAAAAAAAAAAAAAATTAAAAACACCAAATGCCAGTTTTGTGTTTCCTAGACACGATTAAATCTAGTGAGCTCTCTCCTCATTTCGTCTGGAACTCATAATTTTGTAGGCTCATTTGTTTGATGTGCCCTGTACCAGGGTTTCCCAAACTGCAATTTTCTGAAAGCAATTGTTTCTTATAAAATTGAGAAATTTTGTTTCACTCAGCTCTTTCATTTGCTACAAGATTTAGTGACATGTAAAGCTGAAGGAGTAAAAGCTGGCAGCTCAGATCAAAGTGGCCTTCTCTGAGCATATTAAATCAGAACGGATCCCTTTGTAGTAACTGCAGCATTTTAGCATATATCTATATATATGCCATAACTCTCTAAGGCAACCTTTTTTGATGAGCAAATAGTGGCCGAATATCCTTAAAATAATGAACTCCTTGGGAGGAGCAGTGCTTACTTCATTGGAAGCCAAATACACACACAGCAGGGCTATTTCTTCAGCAGTTGCAAATCTTCCAGTCTTCTGTCTCTTCAGAAAATCACTCAGTGCCTGTGACCAGAAACCATACCAGACATCAGTGACCTGAGCTGAAGTACGAACTCAGCTGCAATTCCATCGGGGGGTAAAAAGCAAGATGAGTCTACAGAGGTACCACCGGCTTGAAGCCATAATCATGCATGATGCATAATATGTGAGAATATCATTACTATCATTAACTGTGAACTAAGCAGACCAAGCAGGGCTTTGGTGACTGCCTAGCTACTCAAATTATTTTGTTATACTGTGACCTACAGACACTGTGACAGATCAGAAAGTTAATACTAAAGAAGGGGGCTTTTTAAAAGTTGTAGTAAAATATACCTAATGTAAAATTTACCATCTCAACCATTTTTACTATTTTTTTCTTTTTTTAAAATTTATAAATCATGTTTATTCTATTACAGTTGTCTCAATTTTTCCCCCTTTACCCCCCCCCCACCCATCCCACCCCCACCCCTGGCTCTCACAGTCAGTTCCCACTCTGTTGTCCATGTCCATGGGCCATTCATACATGTTCTTTGTCTAGTCCCTTCCCCTTCTTTCCACCATTGTCCTCTTTCCCAATCTCCTCTGGTCACTTTCAGTCTGCTCCATGTTTCTGTGCCTGTACCATCTCAACCATTTTTAAACATTAAAAAAATATCCTCACCTGAGGACATGTTCACTGATTTTAGAGAAAGAAGGGAGAAAGAGAGAGGGGGAGAGAGGGAGAGAAAGAGAGAGAGAGAGAGAGAGAGAGATCGATCAATTACCCCCCCCCCATGCGTCCTCACTGGGGATTGAACCCGCAACGTAGGTATGTACGTTGACTGGGGATGGAACACACAAGCTTTTGGTGCACAGGAGGATGCTCCAAACACCTGAGCCATTTGGCTAGCATTCATCTTAACCATTTTTAAGTGTGCAGTTCAGTAGTGTTAAGTACATTCACACTGTTGTCAAACCAATCTCCAGATCTCTTTTCATCTTGCAAAATCCATTAAACAACAACTCCCCATTCCCACACACTCAGCCCCTGGCAACCGCCGTTCTGCTCTCTGACTGTATGAATTTGTCTGCTCTCTGCTAAGGAAGAGGGTTTTTCTTACCAGAAGATACAGACACATTTAAAAGAGTAGATATACCTACCTCTTCAGGATTTGGTCTGGCTTGTATTCTTTCTTGTAGAGATGGGGTATCAACTGTTCCTAAATCAAAGGGGGAGATTCAGCTTTGTTACTTACTTTAACTGAAAAAAGAAATTGACAATTAAACTTTCTTTCCATATGATATGACAATCAGTGAAATCCATGACTTCCATGACTTCTCCATGACTTCCTCTCCCTGCCTGCCCTTTTATTTAATAGGCTTATAACCTCTTTAATAACATTTCTATGACTTTTTAAAACACAGACTATATTTCTTTGTGATACTAGGCAAAGACTCAGGGTAAATAGCCCAGCATTCCCTATGTGTACAAGTATATACAGGGTCCGGCAAAAGTGGGTGTAATAATTTATAGTTTTAATGTGAACATTTTACCTAAACTGTCATATGGTGTGCTTGAATGAGACATTGTTATGTTACAGAATTAAATGCTTCTGATTTTGTAGTAAAAAGAGGGCGTTATTTGTGCTGGATCCTGTATTTTAGTCACATTACGTTAGCATGATACCTTGTGGATTTTAAGCACTTTTACATGTACTGCCTCAATTAATCCTCACAGTCACCCCGAGATGTAGATACAATTGTCGAAGTCCTTTACCAGGACAGGGATCCAGGCTGCCTGGATGCTCTCAGAACCATTCTTGCTGTCAAGTTCACTCTGGAGATCCCAGGGGACAACTCCATGACTGTCACAGTCCTCCGTAATTTAGGTGGTTCAAAATTTTCCTCCTCATCTTGCCTGTTTTCATTGGTTTCAAATTCCTAGTTTTATCACTGTCTCATGTTTCTCATCAAAAATGTATTTGAAATTCTTTCACTTAAAAAAATGAGTGACACTACAAAGTTTTAAATTCCACCTAGTTCAAGTTCCTACAGAGGAAGTTTCCCAGATTTTTTTGTTCACTTATATAGTCTGTCAGTTCTCGTTAGAGGGCTGTTCTTTATTTCCTGACGGACAGTACTCCAGGGATCACGTGATCTTTCTGAGATCATAATAAATGATTTTACAGTCATATCCTAAGCTGCTTCTTTAGACCATGCTCCCGAGAATGCCACAGATTTTATGTTTCCTTGGAAACCGCTTCTTAATTTTATCCTCATTTGCCATTTCTCTGGAGAGGCTGGGAATTCTTCAAAATCAGCACATTCTGGCTGGTTTTGGTTTAACAGCCCCTTATTAAGCTTCTGTTTCTCCTCACATTTTACTAGAAGTGGGTAGCACTTTCAAGTACACTGGGTGGAAATTGCCTTAGCCAGATCACTCAGTTCACTGGGAGTGTTTTCTATCGTCCATGTTACTGCAGGGAATAGGGTTAATAAACTTTCTGAAACCACGTAACAAGGATTACCTTGTATCAGTTTTCAATAGTATTTCCTCACTTCCCTCATCAATAGCCTCCTTAAAGTACATCGTTTCACCCTGTGCTCAAGGAACCTGAATCTTTCACTTAAAGGATTAAGCAAAAACAAACAAACAAAAAACAACTCATAGATACAGACAACAGCATAGTGATTACCAGAGAGCAAGGAGTGTGGGGGAGGTAGAAGAGGATAAAGGAGGGACAAATGGTGAGGGAAGGAGACTTGACTTGGGGTGGGGAACACATAATGCAATAGACGGGTGATGTGTTATAGAACTGTACACCTGGAACCTATATAACTTTATTTGCTGTGTCCATGGCAGACCGACACACCACGCCGCAGTCTACACAAGTCTGCTGTTGACGCGTTGTGACTGTACAACCCCACTGCCATCCGCGTGCCTAGTCAAGTTTTCTTCGTGACTGGCTCAGTGAGTCATGCTGGTTCCTTGTTCCAGAGAGATAGATAACATATTTTCCAAGCGCCTGAAAGGTCCAGCTGCTAAAACAACCACATTTTCCAAATCATTTTGCCATTTATTCCATTTGGAAAATAGCACCAAAAATAACTGGACTCTGAGTACCACCAGTATGTAAAACTCAGTGAAACTCTCCCCTGTATCACTTTTTTTCTTAGTGTGACCTATGTTTACCTTGCTAGTCCAAGAAATATTAACCAGAATACTTCAACCAGGGAAATCCTGTAGCTTGCAGGGTTTTGGGTAGTTTTCCCTCTTTAACCAGAAAGCTGGTGGTGTTCACCCCAAGAGAGGACCCTGATGGGCAACATCGGCATCTCGGGTGGGGCTTGCCAAATCACAGGCAAACCTCATTTTATTGCGCTTCGCTTGATTGTGTTTCACGCCTGTTGAGTCTTTTACAAATTGACTGCAAGACCCTCCTCCAGCAAAAGGACTGAGTTGCTTACGGCAGCGGTCTGGAACTAAACCCGCAGTGCCTCCGAGGCACGGCTGTACTGTACACACGGTTTTCCCCGTCGACTCCTCCCCTAAATTCTGGCATGCCCTTCAGGTTTTGAAAGGTAACACAGGTAATTGTGAAATTATACCCCTCCCCAGCTCCTCAATACCAGTTGTGAACTACTGAGGGACACTTTGATCCTGGATATGCAAGCAACATTTAATTTCTTTTCAGAGAAGTTAGTAATTGTTCTTAGGCACCTTGTATTCATTTGGGCTGGGTGGAGCCAGGTAAAAGGGCATGTCTACTTCATAGACATACCCACAGTCATTAAGAGAAAGAGAATTTATTCCCAAGAAAGAAGTTATTGAATGCTTTTTAAAAATAAATTGAATGTCCTTTCTACTAATAATGAGTTTTGCTTATCTCCTTCCCTTTATATGAGAGGTCAGCATACTTTTTGGTAAAAAGCCAGATGGGAAACTGTTTTAGCTTTGAGAAGCATTTGGTGCGTTACAACTACTCAACTCTGCCTGGAGCACGAGGGCGGTCCAGGCCAACACAGAGCAGACTGGGTGTGGATGTGCTCTCGTACAACTGTATTTACAAAGCAGGTGGTGGCCAGATTTGGCCTGAAGGTGTTGTTTGCTGACCCCCTTTTATAGCTTGAAGGAAGGTGTTAACTCCACCTTTTAATTTACCGGCCACCCCAGGTGATTTATGTGACTGAGCAGCTCCCTGTTGTCTGGGAGGCTCCTCTTACTTTCTTCCCACTGCCCTGACAGTATGGTCAGCTTTCCCTCCCCCGGCCCCAGGTCATCCCTGCTTGGCTTCCAAGACACCAAGCCTTGGCCAGTGCTGTCTCTTAACCACGTGGTTTGGCAGTGCCCCACGTACCTACGTAACATTAAAGCCTTTGCATCTGTGGCTTATTCCTAACGACTTAGCCTCTCTTTCCTAATTATCTTACTAAGCCTGTGCCCTTTTCTTTGGAAATTTTCCTGATGACAGGGTGCAATAAAACATGGAGTAAACAAGCTGATGCAGATACCTTTCTCAGTGGCAACGGGGGGTCGGCAAGGACAAGGTCACAGCCCTGCAGAGCGGAACTCACCTGGGCACACACAGTTGCACCTGATACCCTGCTGGATGAAGTCTGCAGCCACGGCCTTGGTGAGGCCAATAACGGCCGCCTTGGTTGTGCTGTACACACATCTGTTCACCACTCCTGGGGAGGAAGGGAGGGTTCAACAATGGAAGGAACTAAACAACACAGTCTCCTTTAGAAAGGGAAACAAACAAGTGTCCCAGTAACCATTCAGGATTTTCCCCCTGAATGGGGCCCAGGTCTAGTGTCTCTGTGAAGCATTCCTCATAGCCACAGGCAGCTACCTCCCCAGTGTTGTGAGAGCACTTTGCACAAAGCTGTTATAAGGCTATCACACTGTGGAAGACGTGGGTTTGCCTGACACCCCCTTAGGACTGTGAATTCTTTGGGAGCAGGGGCACTTAGTGGGTGCTCAATACAACCTTTTCTGATTAACTGAATGGGTAAACGTTTCCTTCTCCCTCTTGATTTCCTTCTTCCCTTTCTTGATTTTCACTCCCATTTTCATTAGAAGAAATAAAAGGAGGGCAAAGCAAAAAAACCCTTTTATTTAATTTTATGACAGGTTCACATCTAAGGCAAAAGGACTAGTAGTTAAGGAACTTAATACCAATTTTTAAGAAGTGGTTTTGGAGGCCGGTGTTGGGTTTGTGATTTGTGCTGCGCTTGCTCCCTTAGCGCGGGCGGGTGTACGGAGGTGTGCATGGTGGCCCGGGGCCACAGGCCTACCTTTGATGCTGGAAGCCACAGAGGACATGTTGATAATGTTGCCAGATTTCTGAGCAAGCATCTGCCAAAAGAAAACAAATTTTTAAAGAATACCAGTCTGCAGGCTAAAAATACCACCTCTTTTAAAGATCTCCATTTACTTAGGGTTTGCAGAACCATCTTGTTAGCCATTGACACTAAGTGCTGGTAGGCAGTCCTAACGGCGGGTCTCACCCCATCATTGCTGGGAACTGATGGCTCGTGCTGCGGTCTCTGGCAGGAACGGTTCACGGGGAGCTTACCACCTTCCTCTGGCATAAGAGCATCAGCAAGACCGAGAATGAACTGTGAGCTAAATGGAAAGCAAATGAACGGTAATCCTTACTGTATGTTCCTGATGTTAGAAAACTCTCACCTTTATTCAAAGGTAAATGACACAGTCCCTGCCTGGAGACAGCTGCCAGTCTGACTGGAGTGGCTGATTTAACCAGCATTCAGCGACAGCAGAGACCTTCACAGAAAAGAGGGTAGTGGTGGGAAGGGACCACCAATCCAGGATGTGGGACGCCCCGCACAGGCTCTCGAGGAGGAAATACATGGGTTGATTTTTGAAAACTAGAGTGTTAGTCAGAAAAGTAAAAAGAGAAGGGTGTTTGAAGGAGAGAGAAACCTAAAGGGCTCTTTGGAGGAACTGGGAGGCAGGGACGGGTCTGGCTGGAGCACAGCGTGTGGGAGGAATGAAGCTGCCGAGGCCAACCGGGCTGAAGGCGGCTATCAGGGCTTGGCCCGAAGGCAATGCAGTGGTGAGAAGAAAGGGTTTAACACAAGGGAAGAGGGGTATGTCCAGATTTGGGGTTGAAAGATGACTCTGGTGTCCTGCAGAGGAGACTCCTGGAAGCCAAGGTAGTCATTTAGGAAGGAGGTGATAAAAGCAGAAGCAGAAATGTCTGTGGATAACAGAGGAGGAGGTAGTTGAGGTGGCAAGGGCAGGACTTGGTAAATGGTTCCGTGCAGCCTCCCCCAATGAGAGCAGCGTTTACTAAGGACACCCCCTTCGGAATCCTTCCACTAAAGTGTAATCTTATGAAAGAAGCGTCTGTGGCTGGTTTGTTCTTCTACACAAGGTACACAGTAGGTGGTCAATTGTTGCACTGCGCAGTGGCTAGACGGGGCGCACCACTGCGGGGAAGCACCACAGAGAGCACGGTGCTCCTTGAACCTGAGGGAAGCCGGCCGGGGCCAGCTGAGGTGGGAGCAGGGCTCTGAATCCCACAGAGCCCGTCCTGGGGTTGCCACGGATGAGGGGGACAAATTGTCGCAAACACCTTCCTGTTTGCCGGGAGAGCAGATGGGGCACTGTCTCTTACCAGAGAAGGCCGTGACACATCTCTCTAGTGGGGAAGCCCCGTCACCCTTTGTTCCAAGGCTTTTATTGAAAATCTTATCGGTGGGGCTAGGTAACAGGAATGCATACATTATCTCATTACATTAGTATGTTAAATTTCACAGAATATATATGCTTTTAAGAAAACAAGTGACAGGAATACACTGATTTACATGGGTCTGAGAGGAGACTAATATAAACAAAAGAGAATGAAGATAAGGGCAGGCACCTTAATGATAAAGGGTAAGGGGTGTAAATAATGTGAAGGTCCTTCATAGCATGAGCTGGCCAGAGACTTGAGGGAAGAACAAAGCACACTTTAAAGAATTTACTTTTAGGCCTGATTTCCCTGGCAACCACCAGACCTGATTTACAGCTGACTCTTGCACTGTTTCAAGCCTGAGCCAGGCTGGGGGAGGGAGCCACCAAGAGATAAGAAGACTGCTTTTTGGCTGCAGTGAGGACTCCAGCTGTGTCCAAACCAAGCTGAGAGGTGTGGGGGCCTTTTTGCCCCTTCTCCGTGTCCTCCAATTTCTTGCCTGCTGCCTATATCGGTCGATGTCTGGCTTAGGTTGGCCCTCCCCCCGAGGGGTCTTACCCGTCATTGACAGGGACCATCACAGAGCAAAGCAGACAGGCAGGGTCTATGCCCCTGTCAGGGGCGGACAGGCCATGTCTCCTCAGGAGCCTGTTTCTCCAAGGCCTCCTGATTATTTCCAGCCTTGAGGCCCTCCAGCCTGTTGTCAGGGTTATAGATCCTGAAACCAGGCAGGGCATTTCCCAACATTCAATGCATTTTGATGACTCAAAATAAAGTGCGGATTGCTGAATCCTGGCCTTCACCAAAGGGAATATGTAATAAAATAACTGCTATGAGTTAAAAAGTTTTCAAATGAACTTTATACGTTATTAATTTGACTGATCTTCCAGTTTTGGAATGGTTTTCTGTCTGTCTATCCTTGAACAAACATTTCCTACAAGAGTTCCTATGTTTTGACCATCTGATATTTCAGATCTGCCTAGGCTCCAATCCTGGTTTCCTCTGGAAAGTTCCAGCCTGGTATATGTGCCCCATGGTTAGTGGACACAGCAGATCCCAGACAATTAGGTCTGGAAGGGACTGTGTAGTCTATCGCTCTCATTAAAAAAAAAAAAAGAAAAAAAAAAAGAAAAAGGTTTTCCTGATAAGTGCTGTTGATTACACGGCAAATTAGGGGCAGAGGTCAGGCCGTACCTAAGGTCTTCTGAGGACAGGGTCAGAATGTATGTTTTCAAGATAATACATGTATGTGTAATGGCAGGGGTACCCCTGAATGTTTTGGGGGAGAAGCAAGAGGTGGGGAGGATTCTTGTCTCATGGGCACTAATCACTGAAATCAGAGGCCGGGAAAATGACCAGAAAGAACCAGGGGAGATGGTTCAATCTGAAGAGTTCAAATTAGGAGAAATGAAAGACCCAATGAAAGAACAGAAGAAAAAACTATGTTCTATATAATGAAAATCAGGCGAAAAGCTTCTAAAAGAAGTCTCAACAAAACAAAAGCTTTCAGACAAAGAGGTGAGGGTCTGGGGAAGGTGGATGATTGGATGGATCCATGGGTGAGGTCACGAGATTGTTTCCTTAAGGTATTCTTCTTACTTCCTACTTGGATACATAGCTACTAATTGAACCTAAAAACAGATTCTAAAGCAACCCTAAGGCATTGAGCTAGGTGGACTAACAGGACACATGGAGAGGCTGAAGTGACCCAACGAAGTCAAGAAAAATTGCAGGGGAGAAAATACTTATCCCAACTTGTTGTCTATATAATTAAGAATATAACCATGAAATGGGGTCCTTGTAAAATCAAAAAACAAACAAACAAACAAACAAAACCCCCCTGAACAGTTAATATAGCACAATGGTGTTGAAAACCAAGCCTTAAAATTATTATCAAATTTAGCAAATAGCATAACCCATTTTTATTTATTTTATTATTGTTTTATTGAACTGTCATTGTCTTATATAACCCATTTTTAATACATATAGAATACATTCAGCGCTATTTAATATATAAAGATGGGCTATTAAGTAAGCTTACTCTTACTCTCTAATCTTTTGAAATGCAATCAGTTGAACAAAACTTTAGATGGTGGTGCTGCCCCCTGTCACCTGTCCTATCCATCCAACCCAGGTCTCTCTGCTGATTCTGGAGCCCATGGTCCTTGCCTCCTTCCACTCTGCCTTCTCAGCCAGCTCAGTACCTGCGATCATTGTATGGACGGTCTCCCTGGCTCCCCATGCGGTAGCCCTCTCCGGCAAGGACAACTGTAAAATGAAATGTCTGGTACATACTAATACTATAATACATAGAATGGATGTCCCAGAAACTCAGGCCGGGGGCTAGAAAGCTCTCTAAAGATTCCTTCTAGCTTTATCCTACTCTGACCCAGCCCTTCTGTTCCCATTGACTAGAGCTCAGCTCCTAAACTAGGCAGACGTTGGCTTCTGGGTCTTCAGTGATTCCACGCCTGACCTCCAACTGGATTGACAGCCTAGATTTGTATATTCATTCAACAAATGTTTTCTAAGCATCTCTATGTGCTGGGAGCCTTCTAAGATACAGCAAAGGGTTAAAAATCCCACATATCCAAGACCTACCCGAATTATTGCCATAATAGATTTCTTCTTCCATTCCATAGCGGACCTTGGATTGTGCATTGATCTTTACTTAAAGTATTTTCAACGTGTTCTCTTCCTTTTGACTGATCTTCTGGTTTTGGAATGGTTTTCTGTCTGTCTATCCTTGAACAAACATTTCCTACAAGAGTTCCTATGTTTTGACCATCTGGTATTTCAGATCTGCCTAGGCTCCAATCCTGGTTTCCTCTGGAAAGTTCCAGCCTGGTATATGTGCCCCATGGTTAGTGGACACAGCAGATCCCAGACAGTTAGGTCTGGAAGGGACTGTGTAGTCTATCACACTCATAAAAAAAAAAAAAAAGATATACATGATAAGAGGGCACAAGTGCTGTTGATTACATGGCAAATTAGGGGCAGAGGTCAGGCCATACCTAAGGTCTTCTGAGGACAGGGTCAGATTGAACAAGTGGCACTGACTCCTGATTCCCCATGCCAGTCATTAATATCTCGTGGGATTCATTTTTCTTAAACAAATGACTGTTATTGGCCCATATGGATTATTGTTAAGATTCTTTAAATCATAGACAAACTCATTAGTTTACAAGTTACTGTTTGATATTTTAAGTTAACACTTACATACATATTTATATTTCAGCTTCACTGTACCCTCACCTGCTTCCTTCACTGATATTTGTCAAGCTTTCCAGACAGTGGGCTGGTCTTACACACGAGTCCCATGCAGGTCCAACAGTGACTTTCCTACCTTACCATCGCCTCCTAGGCTTCCCCTCTTACTATCGCCTCGGCTTCTCTCCCATATCCAACGTTAAGGATCAGGCTTCAAAAAATACAATCAAGTTCCGAATAACATGGATTCTCATGAACTCCAAATGAGCAAAACAGGCAATTTACATATTTTTTAAAAATTTGCTAGTTCAACATTTCATGGATTCAACCAAAGATCCTGTCTAGGCACTTAACAAGTAAATTAAAAAAAATTCCTTTGTTACTAAGTTAGTTTTTCTAATTTTGTTTTTATCATTCATCTGGATCCTTCTTGACACCAGGTTGAACGTTCAGTGCAAAGCACCAGCCTCACCTTGCAAAGCACCAAGCTCTCTTTACCCTGGGCTGGGCAGCCTGCAGTGTGCTCATTATCCAATCCGGCTGGGAGGGAGAGAATGGCTCTCCTGTGTTTCACTAGGGTTCAGCTTACAATCCTGAATTGAGCAGGCTCTGTACTCAGTCAGTCCTTTCCACTGTCTGAGCCTCTGCTGCCCCTACTATTGGCTTATAAGCTCAATCAAAGTCAATGCCTCCTTTCCCCAGAGCACCTGTGGTGCTTTCTATCAAAAGGTACGTAATGATGGTAAAATAAAATGAAAAATATTGATGCGTTGTGAAGGCTGGAGAATTCAAGGGTAGCAGACTAAGGAGAAATGCTGTCTCTATAGCACACACTGTGTCTTCTCTCTCCAGTACCCCTGCAAGCTTAGCCCAAAACAGGAGTGTTGGGAGAAATCTCAGGGTACAGAAAAGCAACAGGGTACATCGCCCTTGAGGGTGTGTGCCTAGACACTGAAATTCAAGAAGGGGCACAAATTCCAGGGTTCAAATCTTGGCCCTAACCACGTGCTGGTTATATGACCTCGGCAAGTTACACAGCCTCCTATCTGATCTTGCGCAGCGTGGATGTGGTAGGGCGGTGCCTGCCCCGTGAGGGGGCGCTGGCCCTGGCCTCTGTGCTGCCCCTCTTCCAGGAGTCTGCTCCCCAGACACCCAGGTGGAGCAGCTGATATCCTAGCTTCTTCTTCTTCATAGTACTAATAACCACCCACGATATATGATTACTTGAATACATATTATTCTGCCACATCCCTCAATAAAAGGGGCCTCCCTTACAGGGGGACTTTGCCTTGTTCTCTGCTGCACCTAGAATGGAGCCTGGCATGTAGAAGGAGCTTAACATTCCTTGAATGGATGAACTGCAAGGATCAGTGAGTTAATTTATATTAAATGCCTTGATATAAATGTTCAGTACAGGTTAGTCATTATGTCAGCTGTTATCACTCTTCGGCACACGTGGGGATCATTTCTAGGTGTCCCACTAAGGACACCTAAGTATCCCATGGGGCTCATCCTAGTGGTGGTGGCTGTCTTACTTTGGGAAGAAACGCCTTGATCATCAGGTACATGCTGCGGACATTGAGATTCATTGAGAAGTCCCAGTCCTTCTCCTCGCAGTCCAGGATGGTTCCATGGTGGACAAAGCTGGAGCAATGAGTAAACAATGGGGAAAATGATCACTTAAAAATATGTCTATTCAATTTCCTTATCATTTTTATTATCATTTATTGACTTAGACCATTGTCTCATCCCTCACCAAGATTTTTAACAATTCAGACATTAAGTATCACTTAGTACATTTGTAAGTATCCCAATAACCTAAGCTAAATAAATTTATTTAAAAACAGTATCCTTCTTTTAAAAGAGGAAGGTGAGAGTTTGGGGTCACCAAACATAAGCTCTATACCAACTGCACAGGAAACACTGAAAACAAACTTAAATGAGAACAGCACACCTGTTCTCTTATTTCAGGGACATCAGCGCCCCCAGGTGGCACAGGCTTAACATTCTCGACGGAAATGAAGATTGCAGGGAAAAACACCACCTCGGGGTAGCAAAATAACATTGCTACTGTACCCTTCTAAAATATGGAGTAAACAGAGCAAAACAACACAAATACCTTTATATAAACTCCCTACTTCCTTCAGGAAGCTTTCTAAAAACTGAAGTCCTAAGTGATTTCACTGTCCCCTGCACTAAAATTATGTAATTAATGATACACTATTGTTGGTTGTTACTATACTTTCAATTCAATCGAATGACAGAAAGAACCACAGTCTCTGTTTCTATACCCTTTACTTAGCTGAAAATTTAATAAATGCTCAAAAATGAATTTTTCTAGCTCATTTTGCAAGGCTCTGCATATACTTATATGAGGGATGAGCAGGTTGTTTACAAAATAGATCATCACAAAATGTTGCTTTAATTCCCATACATTATCACATGATAAACTGGCTAGATTGAGGTCTCCTCCTGCCCTCTGGATCTGAAACATGGCTGGGAAGAAACACAAATATACATTAGAAGGCTCTAGGATTTTTCTATCAACCCAGCAGTACAAATACAACACTACATAAGAAAAGTGGGCTTAGCTCTTATGCAAGCCTCAACTGTACTCTTCGCTGCTGTCACGCCTGAGAGGGGACAATATTAGCAGTCACTGCATCTATGTGTAGCTGCTCCAATTCCAGTCTCATCACTCACATTTGCTACCATCCTAAGAGGTTTAACGGAACCATCCCTTTTGTGCTGCATATAAAGGTACAATACGAAACTTCTTCTTGCTGGGATTCATTGTCCCAATGAGAAACATCGAGCTTGAAGGACTTGTTAGAACGTTTTATCGAAAAATTGGGAACCTTTGCATTTCAAGAAACTAAATACTTGGCTTATAATAAATATACTTAGTTTTAAAGACATTCTGGAAGACAGTTTTTCACTTTATTTTATAAGTCCTAGTGGAACATCAGTGACAAGTCCGTTGGTGTGAGCCTGTCACCAGCCTTAAGAAGATCAATACCTTTCGATTAGGACCAGCTGTCTTGGGCAGACCTGAACCGCCTTCAGGCCCCAAACACACATCACTTCTACCGCTGTCTTACTTGCAGTAAAAATTCTGTCCCAAATCAAGCCGTGTTTCCCAAGGACTATATTATAGTTCATGATGAATAATTTGGCCATACTACAAAAATTCTTTTAATAAAAGTCAGAAAACTTTATGTAAGGAGAGTGAAATAAAAAAGTTCTGAATTACCCAGCAACATTAAAGAGAACATCAAGTCTCTCGACTTCTTTGGCAAACTGATCAATTTGTTTCTTCTTTGTGACATCGAGGGCCCGAGTTTGAATACCTGAAAATTAAAACAAAAGGCACTATTTCCCTATACCCAGAAAAAACATCTAGCCTTGGAGATTTAGCTGTTTCAGGGTGTGGAGACTGTGGGGGTTGACCTGTTGGCCTCATAGGATTGCTGATCATTAGTAGTCTCAAGAATCTCATTAGTAAAAATCTTAAAATCCTCCCCACTGGACCTTCCAGTAACATACCTGTTTCTCTTCCGTTCTCTCCATTCTCTGAATTCATTAATAAATGTCTCTTCTGAGTAAAGACTTTACAGTGAAGAAAGAATGATCTAGACTAGATGCTTCTCAGTAAGCAAGCAGTAGCAACTGAGCGTGGACTATTTCAGCTCATTCTTTCCCCCAGTGGTTGAGTCTCTAGTCCAGAAATTCTGAATTCTGTCTGTGTGGGCAAGGGCAGGGTGGTGGGAAAGAGATGGTTTCTATTTGTGAGCTTTACTTTTATGTCAATCCTATTATTTATTGACATGACTCTGTTGATACAAAGGTCTCATCATGTATTTCTGGCCCAAAACGCAGGAAGAAATGAGGCCAGAAGAAGCGATGAAACGCCTAAGGCCTTGAAAGATCGGGCCCGGGGGCTGGGAGAGGCACACTACACCAGTGACTAGAAAAATCCAGCATTCTCTAATGAGGACAGCACTCAATATTTTTGTGTTTTTTAAAACATATGTGGTCTATTATTCTCTTTTGGTTATAAGGGCAAAAACATACAAAAAAACAAAGAAAGGGAAGACTGGAGTTGAGTATCAGGAAGGCTCCTTTCCCCTTTGTGCTTTTCCAGCATAATAGCTCTACTGTGAGCTGTAGGAATGATAATAACATAGTCTAATTCAGTGGACTTATTTGTGTTCGATCATGTAAACTTTTTTGTTCTGAGGAACAGCTACTTTTTGAATGAGTTTTCTGTTCTGATTTCTTTCAGGGTAACTCTGATTGAAGTTATTTGATGTTGGAGAGGGGTTCAGAGGTGCAGTACGGGGTGACAAGCACATAAATACTTTGAGTAATCTCTCTGGGTTTCGAGTTATGACATGTGATTTTAGGGCAGAGCTGTCTCCCCTGTAGTAACCACGAGCCAGATGTGGCTCTTGAGCACGGCAGGTAGTCTGAACTGAAATGTGCTGCAAATGTGAACTACATGCGGATGGCGAAGATTTAGTATGGAAAAAAAGAATGTAAACTATTCCATTAATAATTTTAGATTGAGTATATTGAGTTAAATAAGTATATGTTTAAATGAATTTTTACCTGTTTCCTTTTCCTTTTTAAATGTAGCCACTAGAAAATTTAAAATAACATATGTGTCTCACATTGGGTTGCTACTGGACGCAATGCTATTAGAAAAGGAGAACACAGAAGCAAAAAGTTGTTACAATAAGTTAACAGCTGTTAAACTGTCACATAAAATTTTCTTATTATTTACTGAATCCTTTACCATGTTGGATAATTTAAACATTATCTAAAATTTTGTTTATACCTTTAAATATGCAGATTTTTGTCTGTAGGTTTACAGAATGTAAATTTGATTACCAGAGAGTCAGCTCTAAAAAGGAGGCCAGTGGGGCTGAGCAGCTAAGGACTTCTCTGTCAGGACCTGAGCACGGTCACTTTACAATACCATGTAGTCTCCGAATCCCAAGTTCAAGTGGCTGAGTTGCTTACCCGGGTACTTTTCCAGTTCCTGCAGTTTGGACTCATTGATATCTGTGGCTATGACTTTGGCACCTTCTCTTGCAAAAGCCTGGTAGACACAATACACAAATAAATGCTTTGTCTACTTGGTTAAACTGCTCTCATGAATAGAAAGTCATTCAGCCTTTTCCCTTTTATCTTATTTTCATTGCTTTTTGTCCCCTCCTACAAAATAAGTGGAATTTCAAACTAACTAGTCTCACCTCACCTTCCCATTGTTATTTTTATCATTAATTAGAACAACACGAAACATACTGTGCTTGTCATCTGAATTTGTCCCCTTAAGTAATATAAAATAAATGTGTTTAAAAAAAAACAAACTAGGGTTCTGTTGTTGACACCTCTCAAAATACTATTCTGTGATTTGATAGCCTATCTTCCATTTCTGAGCAGGTTCTTATTATATTCCATTTCTTATTATGTTCCAAATAATACGAGGTAAATGGGTTATTCCAATACTTTTCCTCCTGAAAGTATACTACTGTTTTCATAAATGTCAAGCCATATCCTGTCATTATGCTGAAAGGGCACAATATTAGCTCAGATGCGGGGTATAATGTGCGAGAAGTTGATTAAATGAGAAGGCGAAGGTAACTCCACAACTTTAGCTCTGAAGTCCTTTAACTGAACTGACGTAACTTCAGAAAGGTATGCACTCCTGTAAGGCCCCTGCAGTAAATTCATTATGGTGCAAACAAGCTGAGACGAGAAGTAAGTTTCTCAGAATCAGAGGTTATCTGTAATGCCACATAACAAACATGTGACGTATTCATTCCTTCATCTGCCTGGGGTCAGGAGTGGCGATTTTTTATTTTTGTAACTTTAGACAACAGAAGCACAAAAGTAAAAAAAAAAAAAAGTAGAGTAGAATTAGCCAACCATGGAATCTGTCCACATACTTCAACCCTTCGACAGGCAGCGCGTAAACAAGAGAAGGTAACTTACTAAGGCAGCTGCTCGGCCGATCCCCTGAGCGGCTGCTGTGAGGATGATGACTTTCCCATCAAGTCGCCCCATAATGGCACCTGTGGTTTAATCCAAAATCAGGTTTATTTCATGGCTTACACGGCGGCGCATGGTCCTGTGCCAGCAGTATCATCCAGAATGAATGGTTCAATGTACACCTTTAAGAGCCTAAAGAGAGCACCTCTGTACAGACGGCCCCATCATCTGAATGTTTTCTCTAGATGCCCAGATTTGTATATAAAAAACATTTAGTACAACCCACAGAAGTGATAACTGAGGTAGACATTGGACTAGAACCTACCTTTCATTTCTTTAGGGCTTGGACAAGGCCTAGATGCTGGTCCAGCAGGAGAGGGGGCCTTCCCCTCCCTGCTGCCACCATCCCCCCTGCTGCCCTGGACACCACCGTGGCTGTGGCTGTGTGCGTGTGTGTGCCCTTACTATGCAGGCGCTTCTTGCATTCTCCCCTGTAAACTTTGGTCAGGGTTTGCGCTGTCAATTGTCTATAGTTTCTCCTCTTCCCTCGGAAAGATGTCATGACTGGCCTCGGGGGCTCACTGAACAGAAGAGCTGGAAAATCTAGTCATGTCCAATAGGCTGATTTTACAGAGGAAAGTGGCCTGGCCCGCTCAAAGTCACGGAGTTGGGCAACAGCAGAGCCGGCTGACCTCAGGCCTCCTGGCTCTTTTGCTATGTGAACTGTCCACCCCACAAGGCTGCCGATCCTCTTTTAAAGTTTAAGCCAGCAGCAGTGACACTTTAATGGACACAATCAGTAATTTTTAACAGGGAGAACTGAAAAATTCTGACATAGGGGAAGGAGAATGCGCTTGAGATATTTGGCCAGTGCTTGGATTATAGGTTTTATGGTGAGAGGAATGGCTAGTGATGAGGCTGGGGGTGGTAGAGAGTCAAATGGTGATTAAATGACACTGTCTTCAGGGAACCAGGTTCCTCCTCTCACCCTGCTGTCTTTAATGTGCGCTTCTGACCTCGCACCAAGTCATAGAACGGCCGCGCTGCTAGGTCCCAATGCATCATATAGGCATTCCAGGCAAAAAACGGGGGTTGGTGGTGAGTTAGGTGGGTGTTGAGTGAACCAACTTAAATAGTGTATGCACAACTAACATAAACAATCATTCTGCTCAATTACCTGCTTGATAAAATACACGTAACTAGTTAGTCTTGTAGAGAGGGCTCACATGATCTAGTCCTTTCTTTTTGAACTTATCTCTGTTCTCTTCAGCCCTACCCGACTTTTTGCTGTACTCACTGGGTGCTTCCGTTCCAAGCCTCTACATTAAGAGGTGCTAGCTCCTCCTGTGGGCAATAGGCACTGAACGATGTATAGAAGAGTGTGGCAGGGTCAGACGCGTACTTTAGAAAGATCCCTGTGGAGAACAGACCTGGGCAGCGGGAGGAGGTGGTTGATGAGACTCAGCCTGGTCACCAATGCCCTAACTTCAAAGTGATTATGGGCTTTGCCCAGGGTTTCCCAGCTATAATTCAAACCCCGGCCTGAGTGCAGGTTCAAGGGAAGGCCTGGTTCGGCTGTTCTCCTCTGGACCTTGCGTGCCCAGCAGACCCCATGTCAGGCCAGGACCCTGAGCCTCCTGGACCCAGGTATCAGTAGCTGACGACTAGGCCGCCCGTGCTCTGAAACCCGTGCCGAGTCAGCGCTGAAGCCACCTTCCCATGGCTCAGTGCCTGACGGTGGTACCAACACGAAGGCAGACCCATTTCTAGTACACACAAGGCTCCTCACACTGGCCTTGGTGACCCCTCTGCCAAGGCTGCCACCCAGCCTGGCATCTCGGCCCCCTCCCCGCTGGTGCCGGCCCTTCCAGCCTCACCTAGTTCCCCCCTCATGTTCTCTCACATCACCATTTCCCTGAATAACATCCGTGCCTGTTCTCTGATTAAATCCACATTAGTAATGCGGTGGAGAAGCTGAGCTTTTAGGGTGCCTGACCTCGGATGCAATGAGTCTGCACTGTTGTTGTTTTCTTCTTACACAAGTGATACATTTTCAGTTTAAACATGAAAAGAAGAGATATATTCATTATATACTTTAGAAAGTAAGAGATTCCAATAGTCTTTACCCTCCTACAAACCTGAGCATGGCATATTTAAAAGCTGTTTACACTATTGTCATTAGTGACTTTGGGCACATGGCACTGTGAAGGCACAACCGAAGGCTTCCCTTTGACACCCTGAGAAGCACTTACCACACAACTATTTTGAAGCACAGAGCGGCCGTTCTACTCACTCTCAGAACCTTTCCCTAGCTGCCCTCCCTGTCTTTCTGTGACCAGGTTTTGGAGTCAAAGCCTTGTTATTAGATAAAATTGCACACTATCAAACTGAAATGGATTTATTTGGGAAAATGGGTGCAAACATGGCCTGAAATGGAAAAGTGAGGCAACTTTCAATACATTCAATGTGGAAACCACACATGATGACTTTCTTGCTCTAAATACTGGGGTAAAAATGTTAATTTCTGACTGAGACACAAACAGAGAATTTTCAGGGACTCTATCCTCATGAACCAGGAAGAAAAATGTTCACATAAGACACTGTAAAATTCTCTCTTCTTTGGCTATTTGAAAAGCTTACTAATATATTAGAGTTTCAATCTCGTTAGAAACCCACCCTTATAACTGCTAAAATTAATCCTGAAAAAGATAATGTGCAGAACAAAGCAACATCTAAAAATTCAACCTCCTATTTTTCAGTCCAAAGTTTCATTAAAATACTTCAGGAAATCTTACTTTAGAGCAGCAAATGGATGCCGTCCTCCCGATCACCCAGCCAGCAACAAACTTGAGAACTTTGTGCAGAAGAAAGTCAGGCGCTTAACAGTGCATGCTGGGATTCGTAGTTCATGTTCCTTCAGTTTTTAAGAGGAGTCTCAAATCTATATACTGTATGTGTGTACGTGCTGCCATCTAGTGGAGCTCAGGTAGAACTGTTAAGTCAAAGTACAATAGAAGGTGAAAAGTGGAAAAGCATCTTAACAGCTTACTTAGAATGTGAAAATCATTTCCTTCACTTTAACCCTCCTTAGTCCTTGTCATTTGTTTGTACCTACTATGTGCTGTGCTGGAATACTCAAGATTGAATGAGCCAGAAACTGACTGTGGAAGACAGCAGAACAACGAAATAGAGGGAACCCAGGTCATCGAAGATACTGGAGCCTTCCTTCCTGGCCTTTGACCTAGATTGTTTTGAGGGAAATAAAAATTCTCCCGTGTTTAAGGTACATTTGTGGTTATTTTGTCATGCTCAGTCTACTCTAACACTGATACATGTGTAGCGGCAGAAGGCAGCCATCCTGACTACAATGCGGGGGCTGGGCTGGGGAACGTCAGTGTAAGTACACGTAGGATGAGAAAAAAATCAAGGTCGGCAACAGAGAACAGAAACCAGATTGAAAAGAAAGCACTAGATAACGTGAACCTTCTATGCTAGGCTTAATAACTCGCATTTTATTGGGCACGTAATTGGGCAGAGTGATTGAGTAGCTTATTTGTGTATGTAGTACTTAAGTTGGCTCACTTAACACCCACCCAACTCACTTTTCCCTGCCTTTTGTTTTATAAAGGCCGGAAAGCAAAACTCTGAATTCCTAGTCTCCTTAAGTTGCTGCAGATGCCTGCCAATGAAATGTCCCCTTCAACTTCTGAGGGCTTCTCTCTTAGAAAGGCGAGGCCTCTCTGAAAGCCTTTTGACTTTTGCTCTTTCCCTTCTTTTCTCCTGGAATGTAGATATGATGCCTTGGGACATAGCCATGTGACTTGGTATGAGGTCAGAAGCACACATTAAAGACAGCAGAGTAAGAAAAGGGGCCTGAGTCCTTGAAGACAGCGCCAAGTTAAGAGTCCTAGACTAACTCCTCTGGACTTCTTATGTGAGAAAAATAAACTTCTTTAGATTACTTTTTTTCTTAAGGTTTTTCATTCTTAGTGCTAAGTGTATTCATAACGATCATAGCCTTTAAGAACAAACATTGTGGCATAAAAAGGATGAAGGCAGATCCCAAATTTCCCTCACTAGTTAAGTCACTTAACTCCCCAAACCTGTTTTCTCATCTGTGACATGAGGGTAACCATAGCACCTCCCTCAGGGATGTTGTGACGAGAAAGGACTGAGCATGTGGAACCAGGGGCACAATGTGTTTAAAAATGTTAATAATTATCAGAAATTCAGTTATAATGGATAGCAAAAATTGTCCTTTAAAATTTTTTTAAAACCCTCACCTTAGTTTGTGCATGTGCCCATGTGAGGTCTTTGCTAAAACTGAACCTCATTACCACACTGTAGCTTCTAACATTGGGTCTAGTGATCTGTAACAACACGCTGCTGTGCTCCTTGCTTTAACAATGCTTTCTTTTGACTTTTGAGAATTTTTAAAAATTTAACCTTTATTATATATTTTTTCCCATTACCATTTAGTCCCCTTATATCCCCTTCCTCCAGCAATCACTGCACTGTTGTTCATGTCCATGAGTCCTTTTTCCTTTTTGCTCAATCCCGTAACCCCCTAACTGCGCCCCCCCGACTAGCTGTCATCTGCTCTCCCTCTATGAGTCTGTCCCCATTTTCCTTGTTAGTTCAGTTTGTTTATTGGATTCTACAGAGGAGCGAAATCATATGGCATCTGTTTTCTCTGACTGGCTTATTTCACTAAACATAATGTTCTCCAGGTCCATCCATACTGTTGCAAAGGGTAACATTTTCTTTTTCTTCTTCTTTTTCTGAGGCTAAGTAGTATTCCACTGTGTAAATAGAATAAATAGACTTTTAATGAGTATGTGAGTTATCTAATCAGGGCCAACTCCGACACTTTTTTTGGTGCAGTTTTCTTCAGTCTCCCTTTGTCCACTCATCTTCGACAACAAGGTTTACTCTACGCTAGCCTAAGTCATGTGGTATTGAAAATATTTGTTTACCCATCTATACTGTCAGTGGACTAAATTTCTTAAAGGCTAAGGACTGTATCTTTTTCACCCTTACATATTGTCAGCTCATATTAAAAGTATATGATTTGTTTTTTAAACACAATACGATTTCCACAAAGGCAGTGCCTTTTGGTGCTTAGATCAATGATTTGCACATAGTAGGTGGTTACTTAATATTTGCTGAATATGAATGGCAGCCTCGTAAGTTTCCTGAATATAATTCTTTCAGACTCTCAAAAAAATGTTTCCTACGAATAAATACATTTTGTCCTTTCTGATCCTGACTTTACTTTCAGACCATTTAGTATTGTCTGACTCTATTACTGTTTTCACCATTTTTGCCAGTTTCCATTGTTGATTTTCATCATTGTTCCTTCATAATCATGTCACGATATTAACACTCAGATCCTAAGAGTTAAGGAACATTCTGAGGGAGAGGGCAACAAGATGAAGGCATAAGTTCCAGCTCTTTCCCCCACAGAGGTACCAACTTAACAATATGTCAACCAAAATACCTTTGTGAGAACTTCAGAAGTCAGATAAGAAGTTCCAGTGCCGTAGGCGGGGGCAAAGCTGAGACTAGACACTCTGACACAGGGAAGGGCTGATTCACTTTACCTGTGACCAGCTCTGTCCCCAATGAACACAGTTCATCCAAAGGTCCAATATTTTGGAAGGCTGCCCAAGTGACTGGTTTCCATATTGCCTCACTTGGAGTACTGCTGGAACGGGCACAGTTTGGCAACCAGAGGGTGTGTTGTGCTCTAGACCAAGGCTGGAGTGGCTCGGCAGGACCAGGAGAAACTGCTCAACTTGCAGCTTAATCCTTGGTGGGGAGAGAGAAGAACAGAGCCTATTTCTGGTGTTTCAGCTTTTTGGAGGGTTGCCCAAGGGATTGGTATCTGCCTTGCTTTACTTGGGATGCTGATGGGAAGCAAGTGTATTTTGGATGCCTAGGAGCTAATGAGAACAAAGGAGAGTGGGGTGGTTTCCTTGTGTAGCACCGAAGAACCAGCAGCACTGCAGAGACAACAGAGGGAGCAAGAGATTAGGAGCCCCTGAAAAAGAAATTTGCAAACCTCTCTAAAGAGCAAATTACACACTCAAGCCCAGACAAGTCACATCCTCCCAAAAAGGTTTCAGATGTCCCCAGAATCTCTAACCAGGCTGACTGATGAAAGTCTTCCCCTCTACTAAACAGTCCATATGGAATGAAGAGGAAGCTGATTTTTTTGAATGCATAAAATTCAGCAAAAAATCAGAAGGCACACAAAGAAACAAACATGGTCCAATAAAAGGAACAAGATACATCTCCAGAAACAAACTCCAAAGGAATGGTGATCTCTGAATTGCCTGATGAAGAGTTCAAGATGTTTTTAAAAAGTTCAATGATATACACAAAACACACAAAAAAAGTGAAACCAGGCAAACAAAGCATGAACAAAACGAGAGCATTAACAGAGACAGAAACTATAAAAAGGAACCAAACAGAAATTCTGGAGCTGAGGAAACAAAAAAATACACTAGAGGGGCTCACAGCAGACTTGATCAAACAGAAGAAAGAATCGACAAAGTTGAAGACAGGTCATTTGAAATTATTCACTCAGAGAAGGTAAAAAAAAAAAAAAGAGCCTAAGGTACTTATGTGACATCAGCAAGTGAATCAAATATATGTACACTGGATAGCTGATGACTGATTATATTTTGAATGGTCTTAAAGTAGTTTTATTACCCAGATGTACTTACCTACTATTTTGCATTACTTTTATTCAGTGGAGCAGTGGACATTGTAAAGAATCAAATCTGCAGCTCTGTTACAGGGTCTTGTTTGGGCAAGAGTGGGAAGGAGAAACAACACTCCTAAGACACAGACCTGAAGGAGAGGATTTTAGGAAGAGACAATTTCCACTTAGCCCTATGATAGTACGCTAAGGGAAAATGCCCAATACATAGACTAAAAATGAAAGTTATGATGCTATTGATAATTTCTTCTTCAATGACTCTTCTCATCAAAAAGCAAAGAATGCTTTGAAATGACTAACCTTGTTCTGAAATTTATGTAACTTTTTTATGTGATTTTTTCAGTCATGGGATTAATATAAAATATCACATACTCTCTAAAACAGTTCTTGACGTCTTATAGAGTCATAGAACCCTTGGAGAATATGATAAAAGAGAGTATGAACCTGAGCATCCTAGAAAAATGAATCCACACGTTAATGTGATTTTTTCAGAGGTTATAGACTGTGCGAAGCCCATTCATAGGTGCCTTATATATGTGGGGTTCCAGGTTTAGAACACTTTATTTTGGCAGTAACTCTGGTGCTGTTTCCTCATGTCTAAAATGAAAGGATATAGTAGATGATATGTTAAGTTGTTTTGGCTGAGTGTGAAGTGCAAACGAGTACAAATTTCTGTATAGAGTGCTTGTATAGTAAGTGGGGAGGGTGGGTAACAGAAAAGAACTTTTGTAATTACTACAGCAAAAGGAAGATTAAGACTAGAAAATGAAAAGGTCAAAACACTCGTTATCCCATAACAACTTAAATACAGAAAGCATGTGTGTATTTTCTAGCAAAATTCTACATGTCAACAAACAAGAGAGGAGAACCAAATATACCCCACTGAAAGACTACAGGAGTTGTGATTCAGTACTAATTAAATATTTATTGAATGTTTAAGGTACTAAACAAGGAGTTTATAATTCTCTTAAGCCACATGTTGATAACTTTACAGTAATAAAAATGGATACAATTTAGATTAGAAATTTCCTTCAATAACTTTATTCTTTAAAAAACATATAAATAAATATGACAGTTCAACTTCTGAAGTATTACCACATTCAAGAAGATGATATTGTTATCACCATTCTAAATTACTAGAACGCATTACTCTCTTGTCCTTTCACCTTCCAA